CTCTAAAAGGTGATAAGAGATGGGTAGTCAGTATAAGAATTGTTCTTGAAAGGTTTGAAAGCAAGTAAAAACTGATTCTGTTTCAATATACTTAGCCTCCTTTTAATGTATCTGTCACTCGCAGACAGCTTTACAATTGCTACGCAAAACTTAGCAATCGATGTAAGTGCTCTACAGAAACAGGCATTACAGTTTTGAGGGCAATACTAAAAATAGCTTTTTTCAATAGAATTTATTATTCAGTATGTCAAGAAAAAATATTTCAAAAATATCATAATAAGGGTAATTGTTATTAAATGACAATTAAACACTCCTTTTAAAATCTACTATTCTTGAAGGTAACCAAAACAGAAGGACCAGATACATTCCTAAACCAGAACAGTTGAAAAAAACCTAGAAAGACAAACCCAAAGTTATTTAGCAATGAGAGTCTTTTGAACCGTTGAGAAACCTGATAGACAGAATGAACTGAGTATGAGTAACATGGAAAAAGTATACATATTTTCAGAAAGTTATCTCGTAGGACTTCACTGGATTTTGGAAGACTGACCAAGATCTTTAGTCTGTAATTTATGCAACCTATTCAGGTAAGGATAAACTTATTTTCCAAAAAGATCAGAGCATTTGTTTGTTTTCAAAAATCAGCAGCTTAAAGAAGGGCATTAACGCATTATAAAACATTACTCAATTTCCTGATATACCTACAAAATCCAAATGATTTGCCAGAATTTACATCCAAGATTATTTAGCTGATTTTCTCAGCACACTGCGTTTTAAGATATGTGAGATTAAAATAAAAAAATGACGATATTAAACAAGCCAATGTCATTAAGGGAAGAGATAGACTTCCAGGCTGAGCCCTCTGCAGAAAGGTATTTCAATTACTTCATATAGATGACCTAGGCATGCCCCATTTCTGCATTCAGTTTGGTATCTGAGTAAACTTGAGCTATTAAATCTATTATTCTGTGTGGAAAGAAATCAACCATTCAGTATTTCTGATTTACATGCTGAATTGGTTACCTTAATTTCATACGCTGGCTGATGAAGCAATAAACTTAGTAAAATCCAGTACTTCAGGCCTTATCAGTAAGGCCTGCTTTTAGTAGCATAACTTTCTAAAGTAGACAGGGAAAACCTTGCTTTCAGATTTTCAAGTTGTATAGTCAATTATACATTATTTGTCCTACAAAACATATGTATTTTCATTTGAGAAGCAACTTACGCAGTGCAACGAGCACAGCCCACTGTGTTCTCTATTGTAGCCTTGCAGCAAAGCCAGTTCCCGTTCAGAAAAGCAGAAGGATGGTAAAAACTAAGCCTCTTCTGGTTGCATCTCGTTACCCGGCAAAGAGCTTCTATCCACTCACTAGCTTCTACACAGTTATTTGCTTGGATATAGAGTGGCTTTTCTCCGTGTAGTACTTGAAACATCTGTAGAAGGAACGCAACATTATTCTGCTCATTAAAAAAAATATCCAGTTATTGAGCAACTTTGAATATGTCAAAATAGATTTCAAAGCTCAGGCAATTCAACAAAGCCAAATTAAGACAGAAAGTGAGTCAAGAAGACTTTTCACTTCTTTCATTTTACTACACAGCCCTATTTAGAAACAAAAAAAAAAACCCAAACAAAACAGCTGTGTTCCAGCTACACCATTTCCTCATCCAAAAAAGAATTCTTGAAAAATTAGAACATTTTCTGTCCTCTTCATTAAACGTGATCTCAGACTTCATGCTTCATACCCTGTGAGTAACAGAAGATTCCCAGAAGTCTCTCCTTCAGCCATCCTCAGCCTAAGTATCAGCTATACTTTCACCACCGCCTCAGAATTTTAGATTGAAATAACACAGAAATACTGATGTGTTACAGGTCCAGACTGAGGCTGTGAGCACAGGCAACTGTCTCAGCTGATGAAGGTATTGTAGGAAGTTCTCATCAAAAGGAACAAATAGAAGTTTGGTAGTATTACATTTCTAGTAGA